AACAATCAAGTTGCTACTGGAGATGTCTACCCCTACCTAAATCTTGTCTCCATTCAAAAGTAAGGATCAGATCACATAGACTTGTGCTCTGGGTTTACATATTGAGTCTGGAGTTGTTTAAATCCTCACCCTGCAATTGCATAGAGTCTCCCACGAAGCACTGTGGCCCCTACATAGCATCGTGGAGTGGTCATACTGGTGACAGTTGTCCAGGAATCAGTGCGAATGTTGTACGCTTCAACAGAAGAAAGGTGGGCTGTACCATCAAATCCCCCCACAACATAAATATGGTCATTCAGCAGGGCTACTCCGGCACCTGGGGAAAATGAAGGCATTAGCAAATGAATGGTACTAAGCCTAGAATCTGAGTATAGAAATAACTATGGTCACTAATGGCCAGCTGAGTTCTAGAGTATATGAGATACGGACTGGACCTAGACAGGCCTAGAATAATCTAGTCCAGCACAAGTTATTCATCTATAAACCCTTTGGCCTGGATTTGAAATGATAAAAGATAAATAGAAATGGTTCTCTTCAGAGCCGGCCGCGGTGGCCCATGCCTGTAATCCTAGCACTTCGGGAGGCTGAGGTGGGTGGATCACCTGAGGTCAGGAGTTCAAAACCAGCCTGGCCATCATGGTGAAACCCCATCTTAAAAAAAAAAAGAAAAAGAAAAAAGAAATGGTTCTCTTCTTTACTCTCATTAACTCAGAGCCACACCCTTCTCAGAAATGGAAGAAATGAAAAAAAGGCAGCAATAAAGATAGATGGAGGGAAAGGAACTGTGATTATGGTTCTGAAGCGATTTTTACTCAGAATACGTAAACTAGAATGGCACAGAGTTTTCTCCTTTTCTACGTCTCAGCCTGCTCCACTTCAAAAAGCTCTTGTGAAGGTAAGGTGCTACTCTTTTGTTCTTATACATTAGAAACATTATTTAACAAACATTTATTTAACATGTGCTACACAGACAAAATTGTATTCTAAAACACAGGGAGAGAACAAAGACATGAAGGCTTCAGCTTTCAAATGTATAATCTAGTTTTAAGTATAAACTGTCTTTATCCTAATATTTGGAGAAAACAGAGACAAGGAGGAGCAGAATCTCATTTTTACATTAATCTAATTTGTCCCCTGCATCACTATTATATACGTAAAGGTCTGACAGCACTGCCTGTTGTCTCCTCCCTCAGATCTGATCTTACCAGAACGCTTGGTGGCCATTGGTGTAACAGTAGTCCAGTGTCCTGTATGAGGGTCGTATTTCTCAACTGAATTTAAGATATTCAAGCCATCATATCCTCCTGGAAGACAGAGACCACTGCAGGATGAGTGGTAAATCCTCATGCCTATTCCTGGACAGCCTTTCTCCAAGTGCTTCAACTAATTATTTTATTTTTCCCACTAGAGTCCCAGTAACTCTAACTGATAGCACCCTACTTTCTGCTTATAAGAAAATGATAATCCCAATTAACAGAAAATACATTGACACATCAGGGTTTTAGTTGAAGGGAAGTCTATGAACTTCATTCTGCTAAAAAGGAACCCTTACCCACAATCTACTACCCATTGAGTTATCTCCCATTCCTGCATCACAGACTCAGTACCTAAACAGTAGATCACTCCGCTGGCCACTACAAGTCCGGCACCTTCCCGGGCTGTCTGCATATCCCCCAGCATACTCCATTGGTCAATGTTTGGATCATAGCGCTCCATACTGGTGTGACGCCTGCTTCCATCAAAGCCTCCAGAGACATAGATCATATCTGCTCAGAATAAACAAATTACAGATTATTAGAGAATGAGAGATTTCTAGAACTCTTTCCTCTACAAAAATTTCAAGTGTCCTCTAAAAGTCTGAGAGCAAAAACAAAATATTTTTAAATGAGATAAGTCAATTAAGTTTTACAGACAAGAAAGACATCTAAAAAGAATGGGGTAAAATAAAATCCTTAGAAGCATTCAAAAACCACTTGGGAATTTGCAAAAATACAGCCAGTGCCAGCTCCCCACCCAGCACATTAGAACTTGATTTGCCAACTTTATAGTTGGTACTGAAACATCCATGAATATTGAACAGCTTCTATCACACTGATATTTCTGAAAGCAAAAACAGTATTTGTCGGCTGGGCACAGCAGCTCATACTTGTAATCTCAGCACCTTGGGAGGCCAAGGCGGGTGAGTCGCTTGAGCTCAGGAGTTAGAGATCAGCCTGGGCAACATGGCAAAACCCTGTCTCTACTAAAAATACATAAAAATAGCTGGGCATGATGGTGCACACCTGTAGTCCCAGCTACTCGGGAAGCTGAGGTGGGAGGATCGCTAGAGCTCGGGGAGGTGAGGCTGTAGTGAGCCGTGGTCACGCCACTGCCCTCCAGCCTGGGTAACAGAGAGAGAGAGACCCTGTCTCAAATAATAATAATATTTGACCTCATTTTTTTCCCTCCATGTTTCACGCTCCTGCCAGAAAACATGAGAGGTTAAAAACCCTGGTCCAGCCACAGTAAGATGGAAATATTGCCCTGCATATCAAGCCTACCTCCCAGGGTGGTGGCTCCAGCAAGACCTCGTCGGACATTCATAGGGGCCACAGAATACCAGACCCCATCCTCATCTGCTGTGTAGTCTAGACATTCCACTGAACTAAGGCGGGAACGGCCATCATAGCCACCAATGACGTAGATCCGGTCATGTAGGGACACTGAGGCCACATAACGTCTCTTACGTGTGATGCTCTATGGATTTGGAGAGAAGAGGTACAGAGCATTTCAGTTAAGCAAGTTTCGGGCCTTAACTTTTGCTATCTTCCCTGTTGTATCTACACACCTCTATGCTTCTTCACCTGTCATCATGAACCCTCCTTGAGTGGTTCATCCTCAAGTGGCTCCCAGGTGGCTACCTACTGAAGGAAAAGCTTGTTGTGGGTCTCTTTTTTTTTTTTTGAGGCGGAGTTTCACTCTTGTTACCCAGGCTGGAGTGCAATGGCGCGATCTCGGCTCACCGCAACCTCCGCCTCCTGGGTTCAGGCAATTCTCCTGCCTCAGCCTCCTGAGTGGCTGGGATTACAGGCACGCGCCACCATGCCCAGCTAATTTTTTGTATTTTTAGTAGAGACGGGGTTTCACCATGTTGACCAGGATGGTCTCAATCTCTTGACCTCGTGATCCACCCGCCTTGGCCTCCCAAAGTGCTGGGATTACAGGCTTGAGCCACCGCGCCCAGCTGTTGTGGGTCTCTTAAAGATGTAAGCTTTCTGCACATCTGCCTCTTTCCAAGGCTTTCAAAAGATTTAACAGCTTTCTGTTATCCAGTATCTGACTCCTTTCTTTTCCATAAGGCACTGGGCTAAGAGACTGATATTTTTCCAGACAGTGGAAAAGTAGTCCCACATTGCTAATCAAAGGGCCAGGATTTATTATAAGAACCTTAAAAGGTAGGAGGATTGGATTTCTATGTTTTCTCAGAAATTACTATTGTTCATTCAGCACTGAGAGACATGCTGAGGGAGACAGATACAAACTTTTTTTTTTCTGAGTTGGGATCTCACTCTGTCACCCAGGTTGGAGTGCAGTGGCACAATCACAGCTCACTGCAACCTCGAACTCCTGGGCTCAAGCAATCTTCTATCACAAACTCCCAAGCAGCTAGGACTACAGGCATGCACCACCTGTCTTAATTTTTTTGTTTACTTTTTTGTAGAAACAGAGTCTCACCATATTGGTCTTGAACTCCTGGCCTCAAGAGATCCTCCCATCTCAGCCTCCCAAAGTGCTGGGATTACAGGTGTGAGCTACCACGCTCAGTCCAAACTTCTGAGCTCAATTGAATACTAGGTTCAATTCAACACAGTTTAACATTGGGTTCAGTTTAACAAAACATGACCAATGAAATATGCTGGGAATTATAAAGACAGCTTAGAAAAGCACCTAACTAGTGGTGGCCATCTGATTTAACTTGACACAGGGCCACTAACATTTCTAAGGTATAATCTTCTAATCTAAACAGCCAAAAACTGTTTACTGAGTACCTACTATGTGCACAAGACTGTTGTAAGAAACAACCTGTTATTAGGCTTTTCTACTCTTACGGCTGGATTAGCTATGATCTGGAGCCAGAGACTGAGGAATTTAAGCTCCCTTCCAACAAATGGTTTCACCATTATTTACCGGCAAAAAGCTCCACTCCTGAGTCTTGGGGTCATATTTCTCTACCACGTCGATAGGAGACTGCTGGCTTCCGAAACCCCCAACCACCAAAAGCACTTCATTGGCTCCTGAAGACAAGGTAGAGAAAAGATAGGTTAGTTCGGCATCCCTGGATGGATAACTAGTCACAGGGAAGTGTAAACAGAAACAGTTCTAGGATGTCTTGTTTTATGTGGCTGAGGGATACAATCTGAAATAGAAGATAATCATAAGGCTGTCGAATGGGGAGTTATTTCTCCTTGAGGCTGTAGCTCTTGAGTCTCTGAAACTTAAATTTCTGGACAACATTAAAACTCTAGAAGGCAAACTTCAACATGACACTGTACCATTTCAATCCAGTTAGATGACTGGCTGACATAATACTTGAGGTCTTAAGTGCAGGTGAGAAGCTAAAGGCACTCTCTGTACTTCTCAGCCTGAAAAACTCAAATTGGGAGAGATTTTTTAAATTTTTATTTTCTCTTGCTGCAGAACATTAGAAGGTTTTTTGTTGTTGTAATGTAGTAAGAACTCTCCTAACCTTGTCACAAAAAAAGTTGCATGTTGAAACTTAGGATCCAAGTGATGGACTTAAAATCTCTTTTTCTTTTTCTAAATTGAGAAAGGGTCTTGCTATGTTCAAGCTAATCTCAAATTCCTAGCCTCAAGTGATTCTCCTGCCTCAGTTTCCCAAAGTGCTGGGATTACAGGAATGAGCCACTGCGCCTGGCCTAAAATCTCTTTTCCATGAACACTTACTTCTCCAATTTAGTCAACGATATGATCACATTGCCTGACAATTCATCAAAACTACCAGGCAACAAATGACTAGAGATTTAAAGCAAAAGTCTTTTTCTCTATTTTCCCAAAGAAGCTATTCTGGCAGTCTTTATATCCTATCCTTTCCTCTAAGGCCTTACTCTGACAAAATATTGCCTACCTTGGCTTTTTTTTTTTTTTTTTTTTAAGAGACAGGGTCTTACTATATTGCCCAGGCTGGTCTCAAACTCCTGGCCTCAAGCAATATTCTTGCCTTAGCTTCCCAAGTAGCTGGGATTACAGGTATGAGCCACAACACCCAGCTTGGCTTTTTTCAAAGGGCAAAGTCTGTTTGAGAAAATTCCCTGTGCGTGTGCTCCACTAGAACTCATGGAAAGAATAGGTAGCTAGAGCTTTGGAAAATTCAATCACTAGGAAGCATCTAGGAGACCAAAGGGATCTTATAAATCTTTTTTTTTTTTTTTTTGAGATGGAGTTTCGCTCTTGTTACCCAGGCTGGAGTGCAATGGCGCGATCTCGGCTCACGCAACCTCTGCCTCCTGGGTTCAGGCAATTCTCCTGCCTCAGCCTCCTGAGTAGCTGGGATTACAGGCACGTGACACCATGCCCAGTTAATTTTTTTGTCTTTTTAGTAGAGACAGGGTTTCACCATGTTGACCAGGATGGTCTCGATCTCTTGACCTCGTGATCCACCCGCCTTGGCCTCCCAAAGTGCTGGGATTACAGGCTTGAGCCACCGCGCCCGGCGATCTTATAAATCTTATAAGTAACCTGGACTTGAAAGAGCCAATGCAGTACCTTGAAGCTGACAGGTAGCACAGATAAACCCCTGATGAAGTAATGGATTTGGCAACATCAATTACTGGGCTAGAGTCATTCTGTCAAAAGCTAATATATTACTGTGAGACATTGTGTGCTTCCTAATGGTGAAGAATAGGAAGGACCATACTACCACGTAGTCAGTCTTTTTTCCAAAAAATTGAGCCTCTTACCATGCCTCTAGTCCAACCACTAGTTTCCAGGCAATACAGGGGAGAAGAACATGTAAAATGACACTACAAATATGCAACAGCAAAGTCCAGAATGTGGGAAATTCTACAGGTCAAATAGCTTGGTTTCTTCAAGAAATAAATTGGCTAGGAAAAACCAAATCAGGATAGAAACTTTTTGGGTTAAGATACTGAAAGAGACATGAAATCAACAGCAATGTGTGGACTTTGGATCCTGATTTAAACAACATTAAGTACTCAAAAACAAACAACAAAAAATTATCGGAAAAAAAAATTACACAAACATGTACTTAAGAAAATAAGGAAATGTGTGATTTTAAACAGTGATAATGGCATTCTAGATGTTTAAAAAAAATTCCTTATCTTTTAGAGATATATGTGGAAGTATGAGACATAGGGATATCCAGTCTGGAATTTGTTTCAAAATAGCCTGGGTGCAGTGGCTCATGCCTGTAATCCTGGGACTTTGAGAGGCTGAGGTTGATTTATCACTTGAGGTAAGGAGTTCAAGACCAGTCTGGCCAACAGGGCAAAATACCGTCTCTACTAAAAATATAAAAATTAGCTGCCTGGGCAACAAGGTGAGACTCCACCTCTAAATAAATAAACAAATAAATAAAATAGGCCACATGTTGATAACTATTAAAATTGTGTGATGGGCATAAGGGATCATTATATTACTGTTTTTATGTTTGAGATTTTTCTTAATAAACCATATATACCTACATCTAAACCATGCAGCTTTTCTAATAAGGTTTTGTCTTACATACTTGCCAAATAAAGTGGACCCTCTCCAAAGTGAGCCAGCAAGTAGGTCTCAGGAGTCAGCTCCTTCGAAAATCAAAGCATGGCCGGGCACGGTGGCTCACAACTGTTAATCCCAGCACTTTGGGAAGCCAAAGCAGGCAGATCAGACTCCTGAGGTCAGGAGTTTGAGACTAGCCTGGCTAACACAGTGAAACCCTGTCTCTACTAAAAATACAAAAATTACCCGGGTGTGGTGGTGTGCACTATTTGGGAGACTGAGGGAGGAGAACTGCTTGAATCCAGGAGGCAGAGGCTGCAGTGAGCCTACCTTGCATCACTGCACTCCAGACTGGGTAACAGAGCAAGACTCCATCTCAAAAAAAAAAAAAAAAAAAAAGAAAGAAATCAAAGCCTATGAATGAAGAGTTCTTCATTGACTGAACTAATTTTATGTCTGCCTAAAATTACTTCAATCTGGGAGAAGTGAGGACCACAAGTTGTTTCTTCCTTGGGGGCACAATTCCCCTATGAGTCCCTTTTGTACGCCACCTCTTCTCTTCCTGACTTGAATAGAGAAGGTAAGTGTGATCCTTCTTTCCAAACACATTTCCCTTGTAGAGGAATATGATGCCAGCAGATGATGTAAGTATGAATAAAAATTTCCCTGCCCCTCCCTGTGCCCTTTTAAGGTTGACCTAGTGCTTGAAGAGGCTAACATAGAAGGGTAAAGTAAGTCTTCATAAAACCCAGAGGTAACAAGAGCGAAACTCTGTCTCAAAAAAAAAAAAAAAAAAAAACCCAGAGGAGAGACTGAAAATCTCTTTGGATCCTGTCTGGAGTCACGCTTGAATAAAATAAATAAATAAATAAAAAAGAATTAAAATAATAATAATAAATAAATACATTCCCACACCAACCAAGAGGTACTTCCTGTGCTATGCAAATTTTAAAGCTTTCTACCGATTTTTCAGCTCTTACTTCTGTTGCTTTATTTAACTCCCCACCCCATCCCCAGAACTAAAACCAAAAAATAAACAACAACAACAACAAAAAACTAAGGAGGCTGGGCACAGCGGCTCATGACTATAATCCTAGCACTCTGGGAGGCCAAAGTGGGCAGACTGCTTGTGCCCAGTTCAAGGACAGCTGGGCAACACAGTGAGACTCCCATCTCCACAAAAAATAAAAAACATTACCGGGTGTGGTGGCAAACGCCTATAGTCCCAGCTACTCCTGAGGCTGACATGGGAGGATCACTTAAGCCTAGAAGGTTAATGCTGTAGTGAGCCAACGTCGTGCCACTGCACTCCAGCCTAAGCTACAGAGTGAGAATTTGTCTCAAAAAATAAAGAAGGCCGGGTGTGGTGGCTCACACCTGTAATCACATTTTGGGAGGCTGAGGCATGGGTGGATCACTTGAGGTCAGGAGTTTGAGGCTGGCCTGGCCAACACAGTGAAACCCATCTCTACTAAAAATATAAAAATGAGCCAGGTGTGGGGGCACACACCTGTAGTCCCAGCCACTCGGTAGGGTGTGGCACGAGAATCACCTGAACCTGGGAGATGCAGGTTGCAGTGAGCAGAGATCACGCCACTTGCACTCCAGCCTAGGTGAGAGAGTAAGACTCTGTCTCAAAAAAATACAAATACAAATAGAAAAATTAGCCAGGTGTGGTAGCATGTGTTTGTAGTCCCAGCTATGCTGGAGGCTGAGGGAGAGGTTGTAGTGAGCCGAGATCACGCCACTGTACTCCAAGCTTGGGTGACAAAGCAAGATAGTCTCAAAATAAAATAAAATAAAACCCCCTACTCTATCTTCATATGATTTCATTCAGGCACCTTTTGAGAGGTGGGAGAAAAGCAGTAGAAAGGAAACAGATTATAATCAAAACCTAGAGAACTGGTAACACTTCCTGTTGGCTGAAATTTTCCTACGTAAACATTCTGGTAACTCTGTCCACAGAACTTGGTAAGAGGTGTTGCTGTGATTTGCACAGAGGTTTGTTTCGTTTTGTTTTAAATTACAATGGTACTTTAATAATCACAAGATTTAACACACACACAAAAAGATACCACTAATAAAAAAGAAAAATGGAATGCTCATCAAAGTTACAACAGACATAATGTTCAGCTGAGAATCACTTCAACAGAGTAAAGCTCTAATACTTGCTGGCATATGCTGTGCAACTTTCTTACTGTGTGGATTACAGAGGCAGCCCTGGTTCTGTGTGGTCAGGGGTATAGTCAGAAGACCAGTTTCAGCACAGTTGTGCTTCAGACTGAATTTTTTTTTTGAGACAGGGTCTCGATCTGTTCCCTAGGCTGGAGGGCAGTGGCACAATCACAGCTCACTGCAGCCTCAACCTCACAGGCTCAAGCAATCCTCTTGGGTAGCTAGGACCACAGGTGTCTACCACTACACCCGGCCCATTTTTGTACTTTTTTGTAGAGACAGATGTTTCCCAGGCTGGTCTCAAACTCCTGGCCTCCCACGGCGGTGGGATTATAGGTGTGAGCCACTGCACTTGGCCCAGACTAAATTTTGAAGTTGT